TAGGGCATAGGCACACACGTGGTACACATACTTACATGTAGATAAAACACCCTACCAAGCTCAGGGCCCATAAAGCATTCCAAGACAATGTCTCAAGCCAGGTTAATTTATTCTCAGCTATCAATCGCCTTTGAACGCTGGATCCATGCTAGGTGCTTGTGCTGTGTTGATGTACAGACACCACATAGAACTGAGCAAAGGGTAAAATATGGGGCCCAGAGGCTTTTGAACTACTGGGAGGCAGAAAGTTAAAAATATCAAAAGGTAATTAGGGCCTCATGCACTCAATAACAAACAAATAATCAGGTTCCTCAAAAGGAGGAAAGGGCCTGAACAAACATCTCAAAGATGGTATCAGATGGGCAACAGGTATGAGAGAAAAGACCACTGATGGTCAGGAAAAAAGACTAGTCCAAACCAAGACACAGCAGTAACCCAGTGTCCACCAGCAGACGAGTGGGTGACATGTGGAAAGCAGAAAGTCAGTCCTGCCTGCTGCAAAAACATGGGTGAACCCAGGTAACAGAAGACTAAACACAGGAGAAGCGTCACAGAAGACAGGCCTCCGTGAACTACTCATACAGGATAATGGTACCTATCAAAGGTCGGTTGGTGGGAGGGAGAACTTGGGTTGCAGGACAGAAATCAGGAGAAGCAAATGGAATAAACCAAATCAGGAGAAGAATAGCGGGCATGCTGAGGATAGTCAGCAATGCACCGCACAGGTCAGACTTACGGAGAGGGCAGAGCTTGGAGAGCTTCACACACACGCACACAGTCATACACACATGATGGCAACATAGGGAAGTGATATATATCATCACCACCCTGAGAGATGATTAGTTCACAATGTAGCAGCATCAGAAGTAGATGTGTGTGTGTGTGTGTGTGCATGTGTATGTGTGTGCGTGTGTGTGTGTGCATGTGTGTGTGCGTGTATGTGTGTGCACGTGTGTGTGTGTCTTCTTGTGTAAGCATGCTGGTGTATACATATATTGTGGATATATGTGGAAGTCTCCAGGACTATTCCTCAGAAACTGGCCATTTGTTTCTGGGTCGGGATCTCTCACTGGAGAGACATCTGAATGCATTAGTGTTGGCTGTCAAATGAGCCCCAGCGGTGCTCCCATCTCTGCCTCCCCAGCAAATGAATGCCACCACACCTGTTTTTTTTTTTTTTTCACTTGTGTTCTGGGGATCAATTCAGGTCCTCATGCTTGTGCCACTTTCCATGACACAAATATATTTGACTTTGTTCCATCAATTATTCCTCATTAAAGTTACAGGCAACTGTAACAGAGAGTGAGAGAGGAAATAGGATGCTGGCTTCCTGCCTATTGTCACCACCGGAACTCCTCTGTCCCTGAGTTGTCTGCAGGTCACAGACTTTTCTCTCAGATTTCATCCTCCCCCACAGCCTCCAGAGTCTTATTTTAAGCAATGGAATCAATCTAAGTTGTGGAAATAGCTGGTGACGGCAAATCATGAGATGTGAGCAGGGGTGAAAAGCATGGTTAACTCTGGGACACAATAAAGTGTTATAATTCTCCCCTCCTGCTACTGAGATTTATGACCTTGGTCTCAGAGAGGTTAAGGAATGGCTCATGATGTGTACGCCACCCACACTCTACTGAGACCTCAAAAAAAAAAATGCCATTGGGGTTTCTAACGTTCAGGATCATACGATGAGGCTCCAGACAGCCAGTGCTCTCTGGGACTTCTCCAGGTCTCCACTCCTCTGCCAGAGCTCAGATGCAGTATGGTCCTCATCGCATCTCACCGGCCTTTCCAACCCATGCCTGCTATCTTTAAAACAAAGGACACCAGTGTGTTCTCATTTCTAACAGAAATGTTGATTGGATAAATATCACCTCTGACTTACCACGGTCTACTTCCCCAAACAGGAGAAGATTCTGTGTTATGACAAACATTTTCAGGGAGAGGGGTCTCAGAGAGCCACAGAAGTCTGGCTAAATTGCTTTCACACTCAGCCTAAGACCTGCTTTGATAAATCGCATCTCCACAGATGTGTTTATGTACTGTTGAAAGATGTCATCCCCTCTCTAGTCTGTTCTCCCTGCTTCTTCCCACCCTTTCACCCACACAACACTGATATAACAGAGAGAACAGCTATCCCTAAATGCACACAAGGCCAGACACACAAACACAGCCAGAGCTGAATGCCTAGATTAGAAAAAGAAGGAGACTTTGCTTTCACATCAGCTACAATTGAAAAGAAATCTGGAGAGACACGCAATAAGAAATGTGAAGTTGGATTCTTTATAGGTCATTGCTTACCCAGAAGGCATTGCGTAAGATCTTCATACAGCTCTCCTCCCAGCTTCTAGGAACCCACATACAGCTGGGAGGTAAGTATAGCCACAGACTTGCCCAAGACCTTTGAATGATGCAAGAACCATGAAGTCATTGGATAATCTAAAATGTACGACAATAAGTGAGTAAAAAATTGAGAATTTTTTGTTACAAGAGTCTAATGTGCTTAACTCTGAGAAGACTTCCAGAAAGGTCCTGTGGAGGTGACACCAAAGTTATGTAAGAACCTGCAGGATGGAAAGGGGAACATGAAGTGGGCAAGGAGTGGGATCAGCAGGACTCCAGCCCAGTGGCTGGAAAGAGCAAAGGCAAAGAGGGGCTCACCTCTCCCTTCCCGAAGGAACCTTAGAATTCAGATAGAAAACACCTACTTGAGCTACGAACATGCCATTCTTCAAACACATGTCTTTGCCTCAGCAGATGAAGGGAGACAACGCGTAGAGCACTCTCTCCACGGCTCTATCAGCACCGACTCAGCCACACTTTCCTGGCCACGGCCCGAGAGCCCTAGCAGCACAGTGATAGCAATCACTAACAGATGATAGGCACCAGACCAAGAACGACAGCATTGACAGGGTGCCAGCCACCATACAAATTACATATTTTATCAAATCTAAAGTACCATCCGATGTCAAATGGACCTCTATTTTATACACTGCTGGGAAAGAAACGCCATTTTGACATTTAAAATCGGAAACATTAATTTTCATGGGAATCTTTATTTTGTTAAAACGGCCTCTATCTACACTTTATTACTTGTTACATATCATCATGCCAATAATTAAAAATGGAACTAAAAATGGCTGGATGGTGATTTCATTCCTCAATCTCACACCCATGGCCGATCTTCCTAATGGCTCTTAGCTACAGGGCAAAAGTCATCCCCAGTTTTTCCCAGCCCAGTGTTGTTTCTTCTGCTTTGACTGCCGTGACTTGTTTCATGAGCGTCTGATAGCCACGCTGTGTGTTTTGTTGTCAAACCTACGGACAGGAAACTATCACCTTCCCCTGTTGACAGAGCCTGTTGAGATATGGTCCAAGTGTAGAGAAGTAACCACTGCATTGTGGTATCATGGTATTAGAAGAGAAGCAAGCATAGGCAGGTAAGAGTCCTCAGGAGTGGAGGGAGCAGGAAGCCATGCATGTGGGTGGACGCAAGGATTGCCTTAAACACAGATTGAGTAAAAACCTGAACTGCTTGGGGGTAAGGCACACAGATGCCTAGAATGGGAGTCTATACAGGATCAAGATCTCCATGAAAGTAGAACCAAATGAGATATGTATGTAACATGTCTGTCTGTCTGTCTATGTCTATTTGTGTATGATTGGATTTGTATTTGTACATGTGCATGCACAAATTTATATTCATACGCATATCCATTTATGTGCATAGCTATACATTTTTATATGCACAAAGGTAATTAAAATTAGAATTCTGGAAATTTTAAATATATTTATATATACAAAACTATATACTCTTATTAGTTTTAAAATTTTCATATGTATGTGTATATTTGTGTGAGTTTAGGAATTCCATATAGTGCTCAGTGCCACTGGGCAATAGAAAGTGTATGCCACAGAGGCCAGAAGAAGACATCAAATTCCCTGAAATTGCAGTTACAAATGCTGAAAACTACCAGGTAGATGCTTAGAATCAAACTCGGGTCCTCTGTACACATATAAAAGTCTATATTCTTACACATTATAATCATTTTTACATAAATTTCAACATTCACAACTGATTCACATCTGCATATTCCTGTTTATGTATAGTTTATATAAAGGATTATTTTATATATGTTGTACTATATAATATATAAAGGAGATAACTTTCTGTCATCATATATAGCTCTATGTGTGTAAATGTGTGTGTGTGTGTAAAGTGTGTAAATTATGTGATATACCACAGTGTGCCTTATACAAGCAATAGACTCAAAAGAGATGGTGGCATAAATCTGTGTTAGTAGCCTAAGGACCAGAGTGGCTGGCAGACATTTCTGTACACAGGCTAAGAAGAGGAGATGGAACCTCTCAGCACTGACAGACAGAAGCAAGCTCCTCCTTCCTCTTGTTTATCAGCAGCTGGCTGATGCTCGCTACCATGGAAGAACATTTGCTTTATAGACACCACAGATCTTTATGCTAATTGCAGCAGCAAATACAGAACAGTAGCAACTAACTTTTACTCTGGGTACTCTATGCCACAGTCATGGACACTTTAACCCTCCTCACAGTTTGCCTATGCTAGGAATGGTGGGGCAGATGCTCTAGGCTGGGACAGGCTGGCATAGAGGACTAGTGGTGCGGGAGAATTGTCTGTATTCTGTCAATGTTTTAAATAAACACTGATTGGCCAGACAGGAAGTATAGGTGGAAAAACCAGACAGGAAGTAGAAATGATGGAATGAGAATTCCCAGGAGAATTCTGGGAAGGAGGAAGTTGATTCCTTCCACTCCTGCCCATACCACCGAAGCAGCAGGATGTGATCTACCCCACTGAAAAAGGTACTGAGCCATGTGGCTAACATAGATCAGAATAATGGGTTAATATAAGCTACAAGAGCTAATAAGTAGCCTGACTTAATGGGCCAATCAGCTTTATAACTTATAGAGATCTCTGTGTGATTTTCTTTGTGAATAAACAGCTGTGGGAACCAGGCAGGACAGAAAACCCCAACAAACAAGCCAGCCCTTCATGTTACAGACTAGAATGTCAAGGAGCCTGTAGGTAGGTTTGGGGCAAACAGGCCAGTGGGCAGAAGTGAGGGAGGTATTTGTGTCTCCTGGAATTAAGGGCTGCTGCTGGCATTGGGTTGTCTAAGCACAATAAAGGTTGGTACAGGTCTTAAGTAGAGGAGTGATCAGATCCAAGGCAAGGTTTTGTGCCTACTTAGCTAGGAGTGACAGGTGGGGACAAGAAGCCAGCACTGATGCCTAGGTTTATGGTCCTGCTGCAGCTGGGGTCTGTCGTGATGTTCATGACTTGTGTTAGCACGTGGATCATTGGAATCATGCTGTACTGAGCCAGCCCTGTCCTTCAGTGGTCCTGGGATGGGCAGTACTGCCCATCCCTGGATACTGTAGCAGGTGGGTGGGCCCTATTCCGTCAGGGGAGAGCTTGCCCATATACTTGAGAAAGATGGCCCCATCACTCATCATAGGCGAAGCACCTGTCCTGGAAATTACATTAGAGCTGACCCTGTGGCCAGATGAAGATGAACCCTCACTGAGGACATGAGAGCAGGTGAGTTGAACCTGTCCTAATCATATATTCTCCCTACAGCAGCTGGGAGAGAGGGTCCTGTACCTTGCCTGGGAAAAGCAGTAGAGCTGGTCCTGGAGGGATGAGTGAGGGTAAACCAGATCTGTGGGCCCGAGAGCAGGAGAGATGGCCTTGCTCCTTGCTGTAGACTGCTTTGGGTGAGCTAGCCAAGGAAGTGCTGGAGAGCTAGTCTTGGTAGTTAGGATGAGGGAAAGCTAGTGAGCCTGTCAATCCAGTTACCACCCAGTTCCAGAACCAGGGCTATGAGTTGACCCATCCCAGTATCCACTGAATCTATGAACTGTTGGAGCATGTGAAGGGGATGAACCTACAGATCCAAAACAGTAGTATCTCCATGATGCAGGACAACAGGATATCCAAGAGGAACCCCAGTGACAGCCCATTATCGGTCTTGTAACAGAAACCAGAGGCCTTGAGCCAGATCAATGACTCATAGAAAGTAAAGATGAATGGACTAAAGGGTAAGCTGTGTATGTCAATGGGTCACGCTACAGCTTCCGTGACAAGATTCTCTTCCTGCTCCTTCTTTCTGCTTTTGTTTTGTTTCTTTGTTTGGTTTGGTTTTTGGTTTTTCTTTTAAATTTGGTCTTGATGGGGGGAGGGGGTGGGAAAGGGGAGGCTGTAAGGGCAACCAGCAGATGTGAGGAGACAGGTAGATAAGTGAGATGATGTGAAATCCACAAAGGATAATAAAAGTTAAAAAGAAAAGAAGAGAAATAGAGAGAGAGGGGGGAAGAGAGAGAGAGAGAGAGAGAGAGAGAGAGAGAGAGAGAGAGGAAAAGAAGCCAACACTGAGCTCCTGCAGTGATACAGGCAGACAGTGGCTCAGAAGTGGACAGAGGCAGAGGTGGTGATGTGCAACACAGCCAGGAGGATTTCCCAACACACTGAAATATGTCCTCCATGTACTTAGAAAATATGCAGGGGCTTGTTTGTCCACAAACTTTATTTTCCAACTTAAGAAGGTATTTAGACTCAGAAAAAAAGAATTAAAATCTTCCTGTGCATTTTCCAAACAGGTCTGGGCACTGGAGGCAGCGCTGCCGTAGATAAGATGCAGCACATCTAGAGGCATCAATAACCGAGGAAAAGAGTAATAAATTATGCTGAAAGACGGGTAATCGGTTGTCATGCTTCAGGCAGGGGCAGGAGACCAACCAATCTCAAAGAGCAGCAAGCAGCCGATGTTTGTGTTTGTCTTTTCTTGCCTGTCTTTTGTCAGAAATCTGGGACACAAACAGAATTCTTATTGGGAGATATTAACTCTGTGAGAATCACAAACCAATGTTGGCATGCTGACAACAAAGCTCCTTGCAATAAAGCTTGAGATAATTCATGACTAATTCTCCACCTCTGCAGGCACAGGGGCATGCTGGGTTGGGAGATTGCTTCTTTTAATTTTCTGAGGCCTCACAAGGCCTTGTGACCCCTGTCGCAGGCGAAGAGGCAGAGATGTCAGTGTAGAAGCAAGGTCTGGATTTAGGTGTGTCCCACTCCAAACTTTTGGTAGGACAGGCTTCAGAGCACAGGTGACAGGCTCAGCTCTCTCAGGTCTGTCATAAGCAGTCCAAAAGATCAGTATTGAAGGCACATGACTACTGCCACTTAAACAAATTGCTTGAAGTTTTCATGTACTTGCCATAGTGTTTGGAGAAATATCAATACTTGCCTTTCCTCTCTGTCATAACTCCTCTGAAAAGAAAGCAGTATGTGAGATGTGGGAAGCTTCAGAGGCACAAAAATAAATATTGGAAAAGAAGACCTAGGTTAACTTTGTGTGAACTGTGAGAAATTTGATGACAAAGGCTGCTTCCCCAGGGCCTTGGAGTTCCAGTGCACAACAAGGCTTTGTCTATTTTCCTTCCTGGAGGAGGTCCATGGTTTTCATGTCCTTCCTCAAAAGCTTTACAATTTCTGCCTTCAGCCGCCACTCTGCAATGTCTTCCTTTCTCTGTCTTCCTTCCTTTTTCTCTTTCTACAGACAAAGCCTCAAGGCTCTGCATCCCAGGATCTACATAGTCCTCAGCGATCAGTGTACCAGCACCTTCTCCTGTCCACTTGCACAGGGCCTCCCCCCAAAGCATGGCGCTTTCTAGGGAGGCACAGCTGGGCACAGGAGCCAGTACTTAGAACTTTCCCCTCTTCTTCCGCAGCTGCATGCTGGCTAGCTTCAGAACATGGGTGGCTTGGGGCGGGGGTGAGTCTTGAGGTAGTACACAGACAGCAGAGCCTGTGGAGTCAGGGATGAGATGGTTGGACATTGTGTACTCAGCAATGTCATAAGAACCACACAGACTTGGCTTTGTTGAGTCTCCTTCATGAGAAGTTCAACAAGAAGAGTGCCAGACCCACTCGCCAAGGTCATGTAATGGCACCAGGGTCTTGGTAATTCCAGGAAGTTATTTCATGTTCTAGGACTTCACACACAACATTCTACATATTTATGTACCTAATGCATAAATGCCCCAGATACTCTCAGAAAAACCTATATCTACAATTCCGGTGAGTTCCCTGTGTACCACTTACTTTCCGCTGCTGTGACAAAGTGTCCAACTAAGCAACTGAAGGAAGAGTTGATTTTGACTCACAGTTCAAGGATGCAGTCCAACATGGTGGGGAAGGCATGGAAGTAGGAGTGTGAGGCAGCTGGTCACATGGTCTCCCTTCTTATTCAGTCCAGAACCTCATCTATGGAGAAGTGCTGCCTACGTTTCAGATGGGTCTTCACATCTCAGTTAACCCAATGTAGAAAGCCCCTCATGGACTTGCCCAGTGATTGGCCTATACCCTGTAAAGTTGACAGTTTCCTCACAGATATGCCCAGTGATTGGCCTGTAACCTGTGGAGCTGGCAGTTCCTGCACAGGTGTGCCCAGTGATGATTGACCAGTCAAGTTGACAGTTCCCTCACAGGTGTGCCCAGTAACTGACCTGTCAAGTTGACAGTCAACATTTTTTATCATGTCCTGTTACCGTTGCTTTGGGCTCATATGGTACAGAATATGGTCAAAAAGAAGTGATAATTATATTCTTACCTAAGATTAGAAATTCACAAGTAATTAAAGGAATACTTGAGGCACTAAATCTCAACCATGCACATACAGTCCATGGTAATCAATAACAACCACAACAGACAATGTTTGAGGAAGAGGCCAGTCTCAGACACCTGTGGCAGCATGCTCTCTGTTCTCTGGAGAGTGGAGCACAAGAGCTTCAGGAATGGTTGGGGACGTTTTATTGGATTTTAGATGTAGAATCTGAGCTCATGCATAGAAATCAGAGGCAGACACAGGCAGAGGCTTCCTGGAGGAAAGATGGTGTCTGCTCCATTCATGACCAGATCTTCTGTTGCCACAAAATACACTCTCAGTAAATGTTTTTTCTGTATGCATATATGTATATTTGTGTGTATGTATGTACAGTTATGTGTATATATATGTGTGTGTGTATATATATTGTGTATACAGGCATGTGTTTATGTGTGATTGCATGTACAAGAATGTGCATATTTATGTGCTGAGATGTGTGTATGCTGTGGGTTTATGAGCACAGGTAAGTCTTAACAGGTTTATCTGTGTGTGGAGACCAGACACCAACTTGAGGCATCTTTTCTCATGAACTATACATCTTTTTTTTTGAGCCAAAATCTCTCACTAGGACTGGGAGATTGCCAATTAGGCTTGACTAGCTGGCTACTGAGCCCTAGGAACCCTCCCACCTCTGTCTCCCGCGGATTTGTTTTACAAATGGTAGAAAGCATACCACCACATCTAGCCTTTCATGTGGGGGTTCTGAGTCAAACTCAGGTCTCAAGCTTGTGCAGGAAAAGTTAAGAGCCAGCCATCTCAGAAGGTTTCCTCATGTAAGTGTATGAATAATTCCTTAGTCAGAAGATTGACGGCTGGTATGTTAGCCTGTAAAACATACATACTTAGTGAAAAATGTAGCACAAATAATAAAACTCCAGAGACAGAAATCGGGGCTCAACATGAAGGTCAGAAAAGCAAAACAGCCAACCATTGGTTCTTACCTCTGCCTCAGTCTGAAATGGCGCTCCTGCCTCCAGGAATCTCAGAATGAGAATGTGTGTGAGAGCTGTTTCCTCCCATCTTATATTCATCTCTGGGATTAAAGTCGTGCGCCACTATAGGCTGGTTTCTTTGGCAAACGAGCATGGCTACTGGGTTTAAAGGTGTGTGTCACCACTGCCCTGTCTGTAAGGCTGATCAGTTTTAGTCTCTGAACTTCAGTCATGTTTTATTTATTAAAATACAAATGAAATATCGCTACAGAAATCAGAAGACAGTTTGGAACACACTGAGCAAGTCTCAAAAACTTCAAATACATTCCGTTAATCATGAAGGAAAATTTTCTGCCAAGGAATCGTGTGTTTTCAGTGGGACTGCTGGTAACTGTCAACAACGATACCTCTCCCTTCTCGCTGGAAGAACACAGTATCTTCTATTGTCCAGGGCCACATGTCCTGGCCCCAAACAGGTCTGATGTATTTAATCTTAAATCTTTCTGAGGAGTGCAGGAGTGGGGCTGGAGGACAAAGAACTATGAACCTCTCTCTAGAAGGCTCACACATAATAGCTTATTCATTAAAATCCAGGAGGCCTATTATTTAACATGGTAGAGCATACATAGAAATAAAATGTGTATGGGGATAAAGAGGAAGACGTGCCAATTACATTGGATTCTGATGATATGAAGATTAATTAGAAAATAGCTGGTGACATGCAGTTGTGTTGTCTAAAACCAAAGGCAACCGCTAAAGCAACAAAGAGGCATAGAAATCAAGGTGAGAAAGCATACAGAGGGAATCAATGTGCAATGAGTCCAAACAGTGGCACAAAGAAGAGAAGGGAAAGAGTCCAGGCCCCTCCCCCAGCACTTGTCTGGTTCTTTATCATCACAGGCTACTTTCTGGACCCTCTTGGACTTTGCTGCAGCCTCTTTAACTCATATTCATTACTAACTAGCTCTTACAACTTAACCTGTGTCCATTAATCTATGTGCTGCCCGAAGGCTCAGGGCTTTTTCCTCTATCGATTTCTTCTCCATTTGGCTGGTGACACCTTTGACTCTACCCTTTCTCCTCCCATCATTCTCAGCTTGACTTTTCCATCTAACTTTATCTGTTTAGCTATTGGCCAGTCTAGCTTGTTTATTAAGCCAAGCATAGCAATGTATATCCACATAGTATATAGAAGGATTATTCCACAGCAATGTTCCACGCATATTTGTAGCTTATTAATTAGGAAGAGTAAGAGCCATTCTAAGCACATGGATAATACTGTCTCCTGAAACCATAATCTCCTGGTGTTGACACTACACATGAATGGTGCTAGCCTGGGCACTCACTAGACCTTTCACTGGGGCTCTTTGGCATAGGGATGATTAACTGATGCATTCATCAATAGCTCTCTAAACTCAGTTTCCGCCTTATCCCAGAGGCTGGGTTGGCATATTAAGCATAAAATATCAGGCATGGTTCAGAGACCCACAGGATCCAGGGATCCTCCTGTCACTCAGTGAGTACTAAGGACTTGGAGATCCCCTTGCAGGGGCCAGCAACAAATGCAAGACCTTAATTCTGCAACCCTAAATTCTTCAATAAAAACCATATTTGCATTGGTACAGAGAAAGCTAGAGTAGCTTTGTTACCATCAGACAAAGTCAATTGAAAAACAGTATTGCAACTAAGAAGCATTTTGTAATTATACAATAACTCTGGAGATATGTGTAATTCATAGTTGAGCTTCAAAATGCTGGAAATAAAACCCAATAGTGTCTCTAAGAGCAATTCATAAACCTATAATTATAACTAAAGGTTCCCAAACTTCCTTCAAACATGGACAGAACCAACCTGGACACCAAACTCTGCTACCTATATGATCTCCTCCTTCCCATTGCACAGATCACTCCACAATGGCAAGAGATGTGCACAGCCTGTGTGGCTACTCACAGAACACCCTCTAGGGGGCTCTCTTCTGAGTCACAAGGCAAGTCTCAACACATTTAAAGGCATCCAAATCAGTCACAGAGAGTATGGAATCTGACTATAATGGAAAAAAGAATAGAAATCAATAACAACACGGGCTCTGAAAAATGTCCACATATTCAGAAACCAAGTTGTACCCTTTAAACTATCTGTTTCAAACAAGAAATTAAAAACAAAACCAATGAAGAAATCACAAAGCTATGGCAGGTTTTGAATGGAATGAAAATAAAATTATTGCATGTTAACTTAGGTACTTCTAAAAGCAAATTTATACATTAAATGATCATATCAGGTTAGAATAATAATTCATAATTGGCACCTTAATTTCCA